GTAAACAGATTTAATACCATGCCCCTCCCCCCCAACTGATTCCAGTTTTTTTTAACAGACCGTATCGCTAATCAAATTTTCAGTTCATAAAATCATAATATTAGTCTTTTAATCGAAGTCAAAATACGAAATTTCGGCAGGCTTCTGCATGGCAGCTTCGTGCCCGACCACGCAGACATAAATAATGGAAAGGATTGGGTTGATGTCCAATGGCTCTTCAATTTCCGCTTCACTTTTGGGCTCGAGTTCTCGCTCCAAATATCATATGGAGCTCAGTGGTTAAAACGTACAGAAACTTACTTAGGGTGACTCTAATGGCTTTATATATTTTCGCTGGATCAAAGACAATAGGGAATTTAATTATAACGAAATCGACAGGCATCTTCTTTCCCATGTCAACTTGCAAGTATGGTAAATCTGATGTGGTTGTTTCACTGAAGTAGAAGATAGGGTGATAATGATTGTAGTCTCCGTCGGTTGCATATCTTGCCAGATATATGCTAAATGTTGAAGATTGTGTTGCTTTTATTCCGTGTGTAAGTACCCAACGGTATGGATCTTAAAAGAATTTCAAGAATACATTTGGGCAATGTTCATAATTATACACTAAACAAACAAACTTTACAGGGTCGGATCTACATCGTGGGGATGCAAGGGGGCCGCACCCCACCTATTTGTGTCTACCTCCCCCCCCAGAGAAGTACACCCCCTAGTAGTAGGGCCCCTATGGATACCAGCTTAGTGCTGAATGGGCCACCCTGCTAAAATAAAGTTATCTAATCTTACCACCCAAAAAATCTGCTTGACGCTGCATTTTCTGCTTTTCGAAAGCGATAAAGCGGAACTTCTACCGTTAGCTCGTGTCGATTTCTTGATACGATTTAATTGATTTGTGAGCTCAGGAGAAAATACTCAGAATGTTTTGGTTAAATATCATGATTAAATATGTAACATGTCGAGGTTGTCATATACAGCTATATTTTCAAATATATTGCACTTGAACAACCAAACTTACTGTACTGTGCTAAAGCAACATGATAAAAAGCCGATATAAACTTTACAAACAAAAGATAATGTGAAACGTAACAAAATGGCGAACATGCAGATTCGGCCATTTCAAATAATGGTAATGTTGGGATAGTAGCGTTGCAGAGGAGAATGGGCTGTTTCTATGGGGTGGTGCATGAGGGAGCCTTACTACAGCCCACAGTGGGCAGTAAGGCTCCCTCATGCGCCACCCCATGGAAAACCTGCACCCTGCCTTGCAGGTAAGGCTAGATCTGCCTCATCTGCAAGGCAGATACTATCGGGAAACTGGAACCGATTTTTTAAAGCCCTGATCAAACGCGGATGAGAGTTGATGAGAACTTTCACGCACTCTCGTTCTCTCGTTCTCGCGTTTCATCACATCATCGCTTACGTTGAGTGACGTCACAATTCCCCCATTTTCCATCTTTATCGTAGTCACTTGTCGTTGAGCACCATAATTTATTTCCATTGTCGTCTGTTATGCACGATTGCATCAGGTTACTTTTATACTTAAATGGGAACACACAACATTCTCCGGCTGTAGTTTTCACTGCACAATCAGCCATGGGTTCTAGAAAAAAAATCGTATCTCCTTAAGCCTGGTTTCCATATGGTCGTAAAATAGAGTCACGATCTTTCTCAACGGCCAGTTTATAATAGCGTATACCTGTAAACCACATATAAATCATAAGTATTCTCTAGTTCTAATCACTGCGCGTATTTTCAGTTCTAAAATGTTGTATTTCGGCTGACGAGAAAGGTCGTGACTCAATCTTTACGACCCTTACGACCATATGGAAACCCAGCGGGTTTTATTTAGTCCCAACATTGGCAAATTGGCAACATTCTTTGTGCAAAGAATATTGCCAATTTGCAAACCACAAGCAACTAAACTTACAGTGGTGTAACAAACCGCAAACAAGTGGGGGGGGGGGGTTCTAATCGCCCGGTCGCCTGGGTGCATAGTCCCCCGGAAAATGTTTCTATTTTTAACGTTTGGTATATTTTATGTCATATATGAAAATATTAAGAAGTCCCCCCCCCCCCGATTTCTCCTCAGTTTTGAAAGAATTACAAAATTAGTCCTGAAGAAAGGTGTGCGGTGGGGGGGGGGATTGGGTCTGGACCGGTCATTCCCCCCGTAAAAACATGTCAAGGAAAATTTGTCAAAGAAAACTTGTCAAGGAAAACTTGTTGACCGAATACACGAGTATAACTCCCTCCCCCATGTATAAGCCCACAATATTCACCCAGGCCATTCCGAATACAAGTCCCCCCAGAATACAAGCCCCACTGTGATAAGCCCACGGCTTATTATTGGACAGGTATTTATTAACCCAGCGACGAGGATCCAACAGCTCAGACGAGTGACAATAATTACATCACAGTGTTATAATATGTTAAGAAACTCGTTAGACAAATGAAATAACTGCCATTTTGGTGGTTTTATATGTGATAAAAAATCATGTTCATTTACATAAACTTTAGCTTTGATTTTCTCGGTTTAGACAAAGTTTATTTTAAAAATTACTTCGCCAATGAACTCGTATAAGATGAGTCGTTTTTTTTAGCCATTTAAAGTACTTGTAGTCGTGTTTTATCACACATGAAACGCTCGGCTGCGCCTCGCGTTTTATATGTGATAAAACATTCCTACGCGTGCTTTAAATAGTACTTCAAACACTCATTAATAATTCATAAGCTTATTGGCAAATCATGTCAACCATAATATGTCACGTGCAGTGGCTTTAAACCTGATAAAACACTCCTAATTAGTATTCTTTATATAAAGAATACTAA